CACCTAATCTATTAATTGTGAAGTCTAGTATAAATAGCCCCCTTACTGGCCTCTCTGTTAAAGCTGGGGATTAGAGGGTAACCCTGTTCCTGGCTCTTGCATAAATTGAACAGTGTGTGCTATACATGCATATCATTGCCTAGGTTTAAAAAATGCCCAATATTTATGAAACATAATGCATACGTGAGAGCTGCTTTCAGGGTAGAAAAGGAAGATGTATGGATTTCATGTTAAAGGGACATTAGCAGATTTAAAAAAACCTGTATGTTTTAAAGGCGAATTTCCGGAGTTTTGCCAGAATTTTAAAAATCTACAAGATTTTCAATAGTGACTAATGTTTTTAGGTATCCAACTTGAGGTACCTTAAAGGGACTGATTTTCAGAAAGTTGAGAGAACTTGTCTCCTGGAAGTTCAGCTTCATTAAGATAGGCACCAAAACATTGAGACACCCAAAATCATTAGTGATTCCTGCAATATCTTGACCCCAGCTCACTGTTGGCCATTAGCACAGACTGTTAACATTTTTCATTTCTCTCAGCTTGGGTAGGACAAGAATAGTTTCCCCTTTGTTTCTAATCCATTTTGCTTCCTGGTTCTCAAGCACAGGCCCGGTGCTGCAGCTCTTGGAGGGGCAAACAGGGGAAGGGAATGTTTAACTTCCAATGAAAATCTAAAGCCACCCCGAACCAGAAGTGAACCTTGGATCCTGGCAGGACAGAGGGGACCAAAGCAACCTACTCTGGAGAAGGGACAGGAGATAAAGAGCTGAGAGTGAACGCAGAGGAAGAGAAAGGAAAGGACAGTCTTTACTGTCCCCTTAACATGTCCTCCTCCCCACCAAAGCCTGCCATATCTTACCCTTACCTCCCCAAAGTGTCCCCACCAGCATCCTCCTGCACTCACCCCCTTGAAACACACCCACAAAAACCTTCCCATACCCATGCCCGACCCGCCACCAAAATCTTATCCTATTTATCAGGAAACATTCATTGCTGAGACATCTTTCATTGCACAAACAATACCAGTAATGTGCTCCCAGAAAACAAGGATGCGAAACAAGTTTTCATCATATGGGCAAGATGTGTTATAGTTTGTCTTTGTAATTGTAATTTCAAGATCCTAGCTCCATATTTTATGTATTGGGGGGTAATGTTCTATTCCAATTTAAAATGGGTTGAATCTCATGTCAGTATAGCACATTTTTGTTGTTGTGCTGTGAGCTTACAAGCATTCATTGCAATGCTGTATGGAATAGAGCTGGGCAATTTTTTCCTCCAGCAAATAGTTTATTCACTGAAAAATGCCTTATGGGAGAACCAAGTTCAAATCCCTGCTTCACTATTTATGTAGATATGTATCCAGAATGGAACAGCTTCAATAGGAGAGACAGAGAGACCCACAGCAAACTAAGCTAGGGTGCTTCCCCCACAATGTGGAAAACCCAAGTTTAAACCCCTGTTCCACAAGCAGCAGAGTGGGGAATTGAACCCAGATCTCTCACATCTCAGCTGAGTGCCCCAACCACTGGACTACAGGTCAGAAGGAAGACAGTTGCAGTAATGCCATTGCCTCCTCTGGCTGTTTTATTGCATTTCCTTTGCTTTTACAGTAAAACGTGCCCAGAAAATACACTAAGCAGTTTGTTTTGACACAAAACAAAAAATTCAACTTTTTCTATTCACTGAAATTCTTCAGATTTTGTGTGTTCAGTTCAGGTTGAAACAATTTTAATTTTTGTTTTTTCTATTTTTCAGAGCTGCCAGCAAACTGAAAATCCAGCTATGTGGAAAGAGAGAAACCAAAGTCCCAGAAGGCCTTCAAGTTTCCAAACCAAACAGCACCAAGACGGTTTACTCTAGCCTTGTGAAATAGTAGCTAGAGCCCTGCACGGATACAATTTTATATTCACGGATATCCACATCCGCAGATATAAATTTGTATCCGCGCAAGGCTCTAATGGTAACTACAGAATTTTCAAGGGCATAAGAATTTCCTTTGAATGGAAACAGTGAATAATGTAATGTATATGATGAGTGACTGTCACCTGTTCAACAGTAGGAAATGTTCATTTTCTGAGTCGAGAAAAGACGGTGCAGGGAGGATGCATTAATCAGAGTTGGCCACTAAATCTACAACATTACAGAAGGAGAGAGATTTTCAAGCACCCAAGTCAGTGGGCCAGGTAACAGTGTCACTAGGATATTGCTCCAGTGTTGCCAGGCTCATTGGGGAAAAAAAAAAAAACTAGACTTCTACTTCGATATAATGCGGTCCTCAGGAGCCAAAAAGTCTTACCGTTATAGGTGAAACCACGTTATATCAAACTTGATTTGATCCGCCGGAGCGCGCAGCCCCCCCCCGGAGCACTGCTTTAATGCATTATATCCGAATTCGTGTTATATCGGGTGGCGTTATATCGGGGTAGAGGTGTACTAAGATTAGCCTCCTTTGTGGCAAAAGCACTGAAGGGGCTTGACTCTTGTCTGTGGGTGCAGAGTGACTGAAATTTACACTCACCCTTTACCCACAGTCAGCTGTGGCCATGGGGGGTGGCAGGGAAGGCAGTTTTAAGCTCAGACTAGTACTCAATCGGATCCCCTCCATTAAAGGGTAGCCTAGAAGAGGCGCTGAATCAGGATCTCTTCTGCACGTCCTGGCTCTGCCCCCTACTCAGCACACAGTTCCTACTCGGTGGGCAGTGCTGCCCAGTTCAATCTCAGCAAAGCAGGGATGGGGTGGGGACTTGCACCACGCGATCCCCACTTTCAGGCAGATTTGGTGCCACTGGCAGCCTGCAACATGGGTTCCAGTGAGAAGTGAATCAGATCCACTGGTAGGAGAAAAGACCCTCCCAATACATGTCGAACTGTACGATCCGGATTATATTTTAAAAGAGCTGCTAACACTTCAATACAAAACAGTCTCCATTTTGTTATTTTCTAAACTTTGCCTGCCTCCCTCCCCCTTCTATTGAACTGAACTTAGAATCCCCTTAATTTCTCGACTTGATTGTCTATTCTTTTCTTCAAAATGATGTATATGGAGGGGTGGGGTGTTCTCTGAGAAGCATTATGTGCTTCACGGATGCAAGCCAAGTAGCTACTTAGGCAACCATTAGGTCTGGAAACAATCGTTTCCATCATTCCCAACACGTGTGTCCGCATAATTCCATGCTCTCATTGTCATGCAAAGAGTTTTGTAGAAATGGCCGGATACACCCAGAAAGCAGGAACAAACTAAGCTCGTTATGTTAATCAGAGATCCCACCACATCCTCCACTTGCATACAGGAGGGCTTTCAATTTTAGGCAGTGTAGCGTGCAGGCCATTGTGGAAGAAATCTACCCCAGTGCAGGAAGCCTGCACAAAGCTCTAGCCATTGTTGAAGCCCCACTGCAGTACTGCCCGCAGGAGACTCTCAACCAGGTCGGGATGTAGGGGACCCCAGCGGGTAACCAGAACAACAGGCTGTGATAGCCCCGCTGGGAATCAACCCTCTACAGAGAAACACTATTTCACCACCACCACTAGGCTCCCATCTCTTCTATATCCCATTGGAATTCTTCTGGCACACGTAACCTACCATCCTTGAAAGGGAAAGTTCTGTTAGATGAGGTCCACTTTTAGAGTTCGTTCCACTGTCACTTGTACTTCATAGAATAAAAAAGGAAGATGCACGGGAATTAAGTGTGTGACTGCTAAATAGCTATGCTGCCCTCCATCCACACTTAATGTCAAGAGACGCGCATGCAAGGAAACAGGGTGTGGCAGGTGCTTTGCCCAGCCATGATGAATACTGCCCATTGGTCAGAGCATTTTAGCCAGACTCTACGTGGGCAAGGGCGCTTTGGAAGTCAACAAGCGCACTGAGTGACATGCCATAATGAGGCCTTGGACTCTAAAGTCTTTGGGGGTAGGTGCCCACATTTTGATCTGTCTAACAAGAGCAAGGCACATCTTTTGGTGCTTACAGAAAACAAACAATCTATACCCCAGCATATTTGTTATTGACACACTGTTAATTTAAAAGTAATTCATTAATTATTAATTTTTGCTGCACCTTTCAGTTCCAGATT